AAAAAAAAAAAATTGCCAAGGATGCTGGCAGCCACCAGCTGCAGGAGACAGGCCTGGGACAGACTCACCCTCAGCACCTCCAGAAGGAGCCAGCCCTGCCACAACCTTGACCTCGGACCTCTGACTTCCAAGGCTGTTAGACAATACATTTCTGTTATGTGAAGCCAGTTTGTGGTTATTTGTTACAGCAGCTCCAGTAAATTAACACAGAAACTGCTTGGATTGGGATGGAGGCAGCAGGGAGGAAGACTGTGGTGGCGGCTGGGGCAGTGTCCAGGTGGGAGACGCTGGGGGCCTCGGTGGGGACCGTGATGGTGGGGAGAAGTGAGCAGATCCATGCGTCCCAGGAGCAGAACCGACGGCATGCGCTACATACAACTACTTGGCTCTGTGCCTCATATACTAAGTACTTGGACCAGAGAGGCCAAGATCCACACACTTGGCTCGTTCTACACCTGGCTCAGTGGGTGGAGGAGGGAAATCCCTACTCGCGCCCACCCCACAGGGCCCTACCTGCCGGCATCCTGTGAGATGGTCACCGACACACCCAGGCCCGATGTGGTGACTCGCTTGCACACGGCGTCCATGTCGATGATGGAGTCAATGCTTTCGGGCCCGTCCTCCACGCAGCACTGGGAGCCAGGGCAGAAGCGGCAGTTGTCCAGACCCTTGTAGCCCTTGTTGTGTCCGCATTTCTCCAGTGTGACTGTGGTCGCCATGCCTGACACCCCCACATGCACCACCAGCTGCACACAGACAGGCAGGACTTAACACGGCCTGCCCATGGGACTCGGAGGGGGTCCTCCTAAGGCTAAGGAAAAGGCAGCATCCTCACTGGGCTCTGCCTGGGGTTGTGTTGTTTCTGACCTCTTGCTGCTGGAATAGACCCTGCAGTCACTCTTGCAAAAAGGTACGCCACGTAAGACAGGCAAGAATTTAAAACATGCAAGGGTGTTCATGGCAGTGCTTCTTGTTATTGAAATCAAATACTGGAAACAAGCTGACTAGCCATCCAGGGGGAGTTAGTTCAATAAATAATAAGCTACTATGCAGCTGTTAAATGCCAAGGCAGTGTTTTGTTTGTTTACTTGTTTGTTTGAAATGGAGTCTTGCTCTGTCACCCAGGCTGGAGTGCAATGGCGCAATCACGGCTCACCACAACCTCCACCTCCTGGGTTCAAGTGATTCTCCTGCCTCAGCCTCCCGAGTAATTGGGGATTATAGGCGCATGCCACTACACCCAGCTAACTTTGTATTTTTAGTAGAGATGGGGTTTTGCCACGTTGGCCAGGCTGGTCTCAAACTCCTGACCTCAGGTGATTCGCCCACCTTGGGATTCCAAAGTGTCGGGATTACAGGCATGAGCCACCGTGCCTGGCCTTGTTTGTTTTTTTAAAAGATGGGATCTTGCTCTGTTGCCCAGGCTGGAGTGCAGTGGCACAAAAATCTTGGCTTACTGCAGTCTTAAACTCCTGGGCTCAAGCAATCCTCCTGCCTCAGCCTTCCAAGTAGCTGGGACTCTAAGCATGTACCATAATGTCTAATTTTTAAATTTTTTTGTAGAGATGGGGTCTCACTGCACTGCCCAGGTGGGTCTCAAACTCCTGGACTCAAGCAATCCTTCTGCCTCGGCCTCCCAAAGTGCTGAGATTATAGGTGTGAGCCACCACACTTGGCCTGGATAGCCCTTTGGGTTTTTTTGTTTTGTTTTGTTTTGTTTTTGAGACAGAGTCTCGCTCTGTAGCCCGAGCTGGAGTGCAGTGGCACGATCTTGGCTCACTGCAACCTCCACCTCCTGGGTTCAAGCGATTCTCCTGCCTCAGCCTCCCGAGTGGCTGGGACTACAGGCACCCACCATCATATCTGGCTAATTTTTTGTATTTTTAGTAGAGACAGGGTTTCATCTTGTTGCCCAGGGTGGTCGAGGACTCCTGAGCTCAGGTGATCACCCACCTCCCAACTGGGAGTACAGGCATGAGCCACCACGCCCGGCCTGAATAGCCCTTTTGAAGACAAGGCTGTGGCACTGGTCACGTGATCCAATCAGGGACAAAGCCACGGAAGTCCTCCACATGAATGGTGCCAACCTGTCAGTCCTGATGAAGTGCCGCCCCTTGGCACCACTCACCTGCGGACTGTGCTTCTCCCACAGGGCGGGGATGAGTCTCTGGACTGTCTTGTACTCAACCGGAATCTCGTACACATGCAGGTCCACACTGTCACCCAGGCCTAGCTTTTCCAGCTCCTGGAAGAGAGGAGAGTGGGGGTGTCGTGGCACGGGATGACAGCTCTGGGGACAATGCGCTCCCTGGGGGTGAAACAAACAGGCCGCTCTACTGACTCATTCTGCAGAGTGGGAAGGGGTGTGTGTTCATTTAGCCCAAAGCCCTTCATTTCCTTCCCCACCCACTTGCCTCGAAGTCTCTCTGCACCAAGGTGACATGACTCTATGGCCCCTGGGGTTAAATCCCAGGCTCCTTGGACTCAATCCTGCCTGTGTGACCTTGGGCAAGCCACTTAAGCTCTCTGAGCCTCAGCTTCCTCATCTGTAAAATGGGAATAACAGTCTCAGGCCAGGTGCAGTGGCTCACGCCTGTAATCCCAGCACTTTGGGAGGCAGAGGCAGGCGGATGACCTGAGATCAGGAGTCTGAGACCAGCCTAGCTAACATGGCAAAATCTTGTGTCTACTAAAAATACAAAAATTAGACAGGTGCAAAGCTTGCAGTGAGCTGAGATCGTGCCATTGCACTCCAGCCTGGGCAACAAGAGTGAAACTCCGTTTCAAAAAA